CTCTCTCTCTCTCTCTCTCTCTCTCTCTCTCTCTCTCTCTCTCTCTCTCACACACACACACACACACACACACACACACACAGGGTTGGGGTGAAGAAAATGTAAGAACTTTGCTTAAATCTACTTAAACCTCAAGGAATATTTCATAGAAATCAAGGATTCAGAGTTCTACTGACCAGCATATTCCTTACTGGTTCATTTCACTCCTTTCATCAAATGCATGGCTAATATTGATCTTATTAGATTTAGACACAAGAGGTTGTTCTTTTATACATAATTGAAATTATTTACATAGGTCTACACATGCACTTGAATAAGATACCTTCAGACAGTAGTTAGTAACCTCACTGAACTATTCTTGATAGTTCTGGTGGGAAACACACAATGGTGATAGACAAATCTTTGGAATCATGGATTTTGTTTGACTACACCAAAGAGTCTCAGTCTGAATTTTCTAGGAAGCAGGAACCAAGATATAGTTGAACGTATAAAAAGATTTATTGTACATATTTACTGTCATAGTTGGTTTTTTAAACACTTTTGGGGGCTCATCACCCAGCACCCAAATAAATAGAGAGACTTATTCTTACTTATGAATGCTCAGCCTTAGCTTGGCTTCTTTCCAGCCAGCTTTTCTAACTTAAATTATCCCATTTCTCTTTAACTACATTTCGTCTTTGGGCTTTTTACACACACACACACACACACACACACACACACACACACACACACACACACATTTAGTTCTTATTCCATGACTGGCTGTGTGGCTATGTGGTTGGCCCCTGGTATCCTCTTCTCCTCCTTTTCTTGCTCCTCCTCTCCTTCTTTTGAGCGTAGATTTCTCCTCCTATTCTTTCTGCCTGACAGTCCTATCTATTTTTCCTGCTTAGCTTTAGGCCATTTAGTTCTTTATTAGATCAATCAGGTGTTTTAGACAGGCAAAATAACACTGCTTTACAGAGTAAAACAAATGCAACATAAAAGAATGCAACACATCTTTGCATCATTAAACAAATATTCCACAGTGTAAACAAATATAACATATATTAAATTAATATTCCACAGCATACTCTGGCAGATAAAAGGGAATAGAGTTTAAGAACAGGTGATATAAGCTTCATTTATCATAATGTTCACAAAGTTCATTCATGTTGCTCCAATTACTTCATGGTCTATAAGATTTCATTCCTACATATGGTCAAATGATGTCCAAATGTATCAGTACACCATGTTTTGAAAGCTTTAGGCATCAGGTCATGGATAGTGTTGCTTCTACTTTTTATTACTCTATATAATTAGGCTACAAGATTATACTCATTTCCAAGTTTTTGTTTAAACAGTTTAAATTGCCTTGTATATTTGCATAGAAATGTTATTTTGGGTCATAGCCATTTGTGTATCAGGAACTTGTAGTGCCTGAAGTTGTCAGTTTCAGTAAGATTTCCTCCTTCTCCAAATTACTATAAATACATAAGCCACATAATGCTGCTATTTGCAATTACTGCCGTCTTCTATATAGGTCCTGAACTTTTTAGTTTTCCTAAGCAACATATTGTTATTTCTAAATAATCTATCCTATAGCAAAGCATTTAAGCTGTGTCTCTTGATACATCACATAGAAGCAAAGAGATTGATATTCCTGGTGGGACAGTCACCTCATAAAAGCATCATAAGATAAACATGAAGTAGAGATTTAGAAACCAAAATCTTCAAAGGTGAAAAATGACACCGCTTTCATTTTTATAAAAAAAAAAAACCACCACATCCCTAGTCAAATAAAATCAGTCAAATGTCTCATATTCATTTGACACTCAAAGGAATTGCATTGCTACCTGACAGCACATTTGGAAATATTTTTAATAGGCTTATTTTAATCATCTAACAAAGAGGTGTACTGAAATTTATTGAAATTACATTTTTAATTGGCCTGCTATGAATTTATAGAAATATACATATGACATATGCAGAAATAAAATTTGGAATGAGAGGAATATCATCCCAGTGCAATTTATTCAGTACTATCTCTGTGCCAGATGCTATACTAGATGTTTATATATTTTTCGTCACTTAGTATACCAACTACTTTACATGGTAAAGACAGATATCCCCATTTTATAGATGAAAACTAGAAGTTCACACATGCTAGATAACTTGGTTCAGACCAAAGAAATTGTAGGTAGCCAAGAAAGGTTTTAATCTATGGTTTTGGATTCCTTAATCAAGTGAAATTTAAAAATATATCAGACAAGCAGTAGGAATAGCTTTCAATTATTTAGTTCCCTCCTTAAAATAAATATTAACAGAAATATTTAAAAATACATTGGACAACCATTTATGGGTAACATTGTAGGCAAAGCTTAAGTATGCACTAGAAGTTGGATAACAGAGTGCACTCCTTTACTGTGTTGTAATGAGTGGTCAAGTATGATTTTTTGGTGACAAGTATTTGTCAAAATATTTCATAATGATGCAAGATATTAATTTTCCAGGTTACTACCAATAACTAAGGCCTAACTACGTGAGCAACATTAAAAAAAAGAGAGGGGTGAAATACTATAAGAGTCATTAGGTAAGGGAGTTTGCTATGAGTCCATGTTGACTAGTAATGTCAGAAACTATACTGATAAAGCCTCATTAGCATTGCTGCCTACATATATGCTGAATAAGGACAACAACAATGAGCATGCTGGGGTTGATAGGGGAAAGACCATGAGACCTCAGCTCTATGCAAATAATTGTAGGCAACTAAGGAATGCTGAGAGAGGGAGAAGTGGTTCTCCCCAGGGAAGAGCACACCAATTGGTTACCTAATGTCAAGTGGTCAGCCCTGAAATCATGCATGCAGATGGCATTGTACAGACTGAGCAAGTCATACTTACAATATATATATATATATATATATACACACACACACATAGGTGTATGAAACAACAATTGGTGAATGACAAGGCCATGAATTTTGGAGTAGTATATGGAAGGGTTTGGAGGAATGAAAGGGAAATGAGAAATGATGTAATTATATTATAATCTCAAAAAAGAAAAATGGAGGTATATATCATAATTTAATTCACTTACTTATTTAGTAACAATTACAAGCCATGTGTGAATAAGCTAGATAACGTTCTTGTTCTTGGGGTTTGTTATCTAGTGATGAGAGAAGGGTAACACTAGATAAGTAAATAAAATGCTACAAATTCTATAAATTTACATCACACATATGTAGAGTAGGTTAAATTGTAATAAGTAGTATGGAGGAAAATAAAGAAACAGGATAGTGAATGGCCCAGTGTGATCTAGAGATTTGCTAAAGAGACAATATATGATCTCAAGCAAGGGTGACACAATGTAAGCCATGTGACAAAATTCAAAATGAAGTGAGTGTTTCAAGCCAGATGAACCAACAAGTAAATAAATTCTTCAATAAGAAAGACCACAACCACACTTATGTGTGACAGTTGTGTAGCTTGATATACTTGTGGGACTCCTAGTAGTGGGAGCAAGGCCTGTCCCTAACATTTTGACTGTCTTTCCGGAACCTATTCCTCATACTGGGTTGTCTTGCCTAGCCTTAATACAAGGGGAGGAGCAACTTATTATGCCACATTCTGTATATATCCATGGGAGACCTGGCCTTTTCTGAACAGAAAAGGAGGAGGAGTGGATTTGGAGGCTTAGCAAAGAGGAGGTTGTGGGAAGGAATGAGAAGAGAGGAGACAGGGTAAACTGTGGTTGGAATATGAAATAAATGAATAATAATAATAATAATAATAAATAGAAAAAAGAATGACTTAGAAAGTGAATCAGGTACATTTGGGACTTACCAGAATAGGATAGATCATGGAATTATTTTCTCTGAATTTGTCAAATACAAATGGACTAAACATTGTTTAGGTATTTATTGCTTGTATATATGGTATATAGTGATTGTGCTTTTGTATATAGTTTTTTTATATTAGTTATAACTTTTTTCTTTTTATTAAAATATAAAAGGGGAAATATGGTGATATTTTGTTTGTACTGAAATGTGATTTTATTTGTATGTTAATAAATAAAGTTGCCTAGGGGTCAGAGCTAATAGCAAGCCATAACAGAAGTGGTGGTGGTGACGCACACCTTTAATCCAGATCACATGACAAACAGATCTCTGTATGTTCAAGGATACAGTCAGCATGGAGACACATGCCTTTAATCTTAATACCAACCATGGAAGACCTGGAGGTCTGTATAGACAGGCAGTGACAAGGAGGTCATGTGGTTGGGTTTACAACCAATGAGAAGGCAGAACAGAAAGTCAATAAAAAGACAGACATAGAGGAAGTAGGTCCGTTTCAGAGGGGAAGGACAGCAGCGGCACTGAAGGGTAAGAAAGGGTTTTTAGCTCTTAGCTACTGCTCTGACCTCTTGGCCTTTCAACTCTGCATTTGGCTCTATTTTAATAAGATGGTTACATCGACTGACTATAGACTTCTTGAAGGGTATG